CGATACTCAAAAAGTGTACTTAAGTACAATACTCAAGTAAATGTACTTAGTTACTGTCCGCCTCTGCATGTAGTAAAGCTTTTGATCTGTAAAAATCCCCACAAGTTTAAAGATTATTTCAATAACAACCTTTTAAAGACTTTATGTAGACAGCTTGGATTCACAGGGCACATTTATACAATGCTGCCCTCCACTGGTTTGAAAGCACCAAATTGACCCCTCCTTCTCTGTCCCACTACAAAATGGACAGTGGCTCTTAAAGGTCTCCAGATGAAACTGGGGGCAAATAAACATAACATAACATATAACACAACACAACACAACACACGACACGACACGACACGACACGACACGACACGACACGACACGACACGACATAACATATAACATAACATAACATAACATAACATAACATAACATAACAGTACATAACAGTACATAACATATAACATAACAACATATAACATATATAATATATCTTTCCTGGACAGGCACTACAGTCTAGGAGCTACTAGCAAAGTGAACCTTATCAAAATTCACATTTACATTTATGTTCACATTTCCCTTTAACGAACACACATACAGTATAGGAAGTAATTAAGCCAGTGACTAATTCATTTTGCATCATATATACTGTAAGTCAGTGTAGGTGTAATGACCTCTTGTCATTAACAAGCTTGTATATGTCAGCATGAACATGGTTTCTGTAAGAAACAAAAGCCATATTTACCAACAAAAATGAGAGACGAAAGGTGAACATATGAGCCTACAGAAGCAGGAGGCAACACTATAGCAGATTTTGTCTGTGTTGCCATTGGAAACCTGAGTGAAATTCATATTTCATAACTCTCCCACTCCCGGCTGAGTCCCTGGACGTGTCAGAGCGAGTGGGAGCCAACGTGGGCGTAAAGTGGGCTCAGAGGCTCCAAAGCAACTTAAGGCTCTCATCCCACAGCGCAACACAGCGCAGGATATTCAGTTACTACTCATGGATTCAGACATGCTGGGGCTGTTGCTATGCTGAATTCCTTGAGTTGTGATTTGCTTTGATATGAACTATGTGCCCTTAAGCACCTATTTTTGAGAATGGCTCTTGAAGAGTATTTTTAGATCAGAAAATAGTATTTTTTAAGAGGTGTGTTAATATGTGAAAGAAAAGGAAACAACATTATATGACAAACACACACACACTTCTGTGAGACGCAGTAAATTTTGTTCATATCATACAAAGATGAAATGCCACATCACACAAAGAAACTCTCTCAGCTCATTAAAAAAAAAAGTCAGGTAACCTAAATATATGCCTAATGTAGTAATATCTAAATTAATTGGTTCCCTTTCGAGGTGGAACTTCAACAGTGTGTCATGGAGTTGATGCTATGGGGAACACCATCCGCCTGACTGGTGTCTGAAGCAGTGGTGTATAAAGTACCTGAAAGCCATACTTAAGTAAAAGTACAGATATCTTACCAGAAAATGACTTTGATAGAAGTTGAAGTCACTGTTTAGAATATTACTTGAGTAAAAGTCTTAAAGTATGTGATATTTATTGTACTTAAGTACGAAAAGTATTTTTTTAATCTTAAATGTACTTAAGTATTGAAAGTAAAAGTACAAGTAAATGCAAAATGTAAAAGAAGCAAATAAATATATATATATAAAAATGTTCATACACAGCTTGAGTAGCAAGACTGATCAGTTTTAACTCTTTCTTCTATTTTGTATCTTTGGGTAAGAATAAGAAGCACTTTATCCTGTACTTAGTCTCTTTCATTCCAACATAAGAAAACATTTCTGGAATCTGCATCTGAAATAGCATTTATATGTATTTACACAGATTAATGTAGGCCTATTTCAGAGTTGACGAAGCATTTAACCTGCAGTCACAGATGAATAAATAATGTTTAGTTTTTAACATAAAACGCTGAATACTGTTATTTGAAATTCAGAGGGGACATGGATGCATTTAACCTGCAGCTACAGATGGATAAATAATCTTTAGTTTTTAATATAAAACATTGAATACTGATATTTGAAATGATTTAAAGCATGAAAAAAATTGTCGAAATGTGAAATTAAAACCACCAGTAGGTGGCAGCAAGTGACTGTTAATGAGTAAGTCATTGAGATTCAACCGATTCCTTCAAACGACCTACCTACATACCTTCATTCAGGAACAAAGTGGCCCTGTCCCAAATGCCACCCTAAACCCTCACGGTCTTCCTCTGAGTCCGCACTTTCGTGACGTAATGCCGCTTTGACTGTCGGGTAGAAGTCTGCTGCGGAG